CTCATCCCTCCGCGGTTCCCAGCGCCGCTCCCCGCTCACCCCCTCCTCCCGGCGCGCTGCCCTCGCTCCAGCCCCAGCAGGTAGGCCGCCAACTTTGCGTCGCTCCAACCGCTTCTCCGCCGCAGATCGACCCAGGGCCCGTGGGCCTCTCCCAGGTACACCCTCCTCACGTCGTACTTCTTCCTCGATTCCAGCCGCCTCCTCGCCCGGTCCGATTCCGTCAGACGCGGCCGCCCTCGCGCTTTACGGCTTCCAGCATCACCCGCTTCGGTTCCGGCCTCCCGCGAGGGGCCGCCGACCGGGACCGAATCCCTCTGAGCCGCGCTCATGCCGGACCCGGAACTCCAAGTGAGCGCCGGCGCAGCGCTGATGACGTAAGCACCGTGCGCCGGAAAGCGCTCCGCACGCAGGAACGGCAGCCAACGCGCAGGCGCGAACTCACTTCCGCCCGGCTCTGCCCGCGCAGCCTTCAAGGCGCGCACTGCGCATGCGCGCTCCCCTTGCCCTTACCCTCCGCGTAGCCCTGCCTTCTATCTACCCCCAGCCCCTTCCTCTGCCCCCAGAGCCGGACTGCGACCCCCAGGGTGAACAGATCGACACCGAGCGCCCCCTCAGAGCCCCCCAAACAAGACACAGCTCTCTCCGTCCACCCCACCTCCAGTTATTGACCCACAACCCGGGGAGGAGGCACCCAAACCGGGCCCCCCCCCCCCCGCGATGCCCAGCTCTCTCCATCCACACCACCGACCCACAGCCCAAGAAGGAGGCACCCAAACTGCTCCCCCCCCAACCCCCCACCTTCCACGACCCCCTCACCCCTCTCCCTGCGCTCGGCGGCCCCTCGCCACTTCAGGGGGCTCCAACTTGGCCGCCCCCGAGCCCTCCAGCTGCAATGCATCCATGTCATCCGAGGATCCAGCAGAGGAATCCCCATCCCCCAAACGGAAGATCACCGGCGTCTGCCCAAGGACGGGGTTGGTCTGCTGCAGCCCCGCGATCCACTTGGCCAAGGTGCGCTGGTCGCCGGCCCCAGCCATGCACAGAGCAAAGATGGGGCCCTCCTCCACTATGGGGAGGGGAGGGGGGTTGGGGAAGCACACTCAAGTAAGGGGGGGGGGGGGGGTGAGGGGGGCAAGAAAGGGGTCCGGGTGGCTGCCAAGCCCACCTCCCCACCCCTTACCTTCATCCACATCGAACTCATCGTCGTCCCAAGGGCCGCGCTCCAGGTCCAGGTCGAGGTACAGGGGGTAATAAAGGCTGCGCTCAGGGTCTGGGGGAGGATCCTGAAGGGGACACAGGGAGGCTCCCACAATCACAAGGTTGGAAACGAGCTGCAAGCTCATCCAGCCCAACCCCCCTCCCATTGCTATCAGTGCCACCAGCACTAAACCACATCTCGCAGCTCCTCATCCAGGCGCCTCTTGAACCAGGGACGGCGACTCCACCACCTCCCTGTGCAGCCATTGCAGTGCCTGACCACCCTGTGAGAGAAGTTTCTCCTCATATCCAACCTAAACCTCCTCTGGTGCAACTTGTGGCCGTTTCCTCGGCTCCTGCTGTTATAAATGGAAAATTTATACTATCTTTTTTTACCCCTTTTACTATAAATGGAAAATCGTAGAACCATAGAATCCCCAAGGTTGGAACAGACCTCAAAGCTCCTCCAGTCCAACCGCTCACCTCTTACCAACAGCTCCCACTGAACCACGTCCCTCAACACAACAACATGGGGACGCCATAGGGACACATGGGGACCCATAGGGACACATG